CACACACACATGTACACACACGTGCAAACTCCAGACAGAAACACATGATTCCTAAGTCTCATTTTCTCCATCTCAAAATAACACACAAATAAATCCTCTACAAACACTTACTCATATCGAGGTGTACCACCTGTGCCCCTCCTCTCCCTCGCTGCTCCTCTCTAATCCACTTGAATGTAGCTGGATATTAGATTAGAAAGTTATAGATGTGATTATTCGTCCCTGGGCGCAGCCATCTATTCGCTGATTAAAACGTGAACTGGGGGCCATTATGTAACTGCTTAAAGAGATTAAACCTAGTCACCCCCGTGGGGGCCGCTTCGCTTTCTGTTGTAGCATACAATAGAGATAGCACAGGAGATGGCACACATGAGGACATGTTAGTTATACCTCCACAGGTAGCAAGATAAAAGAGTAAAAGAGTGACAAAAGACTAATGTTAAGAGACAGGAGGCTGGTAATGTGAGCTTGTCGCAAGTTAACTTTCCAAGGAATAGAGTGTCTCTTTCAATATCTTCAATTAGTGAGCGTAAGGCGGCAAGTGATTGGCTCCCCTTTGAAAAAGGATCCTCACAAAAACACTTTCACTACACACAAAGTGTAACTTCCGCTTTGTTTTTTCTGGACACGTGGAATATAGCTTTAAACATAACTAATAACTAATAGCCTATCTAACTAATATAATTTGGATTTTTAGTCTTAGCTTGAGCCGGTGCCAATATTTCATTTACTGTAATGACAGACAACAAGTGAACAATGCCCCACCCAGGCCAAATTGGGCTGGATGAAGGATGAAAGTCTACAGTCAATGTTATCACTCACTCTGAAACATTCATAAGCAACATGCTGGTTGCTGGTTGCTCATTGTGAACCCTATGCAAGTTGCTGTTAGGAGCAGAGCATTGGACTTTTCAAAAAGCATAATCAAATGAAAAAAAGATTATGAAAAGAATAAATGATGATGCTCATTTATCTTTTGGAAGAGTGCAAATTTCTTGACATTCGATCATTTTATCTTGTTAGCTAATTAATCATTCATACATCACACGTTCACGTCCCATGAGTTTTGTTCTAATTTACAACATTGGGTAAATTTGTCAACTTCACTGTGAGGACAGGACATCTGTGAGGCTTAATGCCCTTAATAGCTGTTGTTGATGAAGAAATCCAGTGCATCGACAACTGCTTCTAAGACTGCATCTGCTGGTGAGGCTAACTGTTTTCTCCAAAAACAAAAACTAAACACATGGCAGACATATGTACATGAAGCTGGAGTCAGGCCTAATGCTCCAACAGTGGGATAGGTGTCAAAAATGTGCATCGCTTCAGGCCGAAATTCCACTGTTACTGTATCGTGCGTTTCCGATTTCTATTAAATTATGCCTTTCTTCTGAGTACAAGGCAAAGAAAGTTGGAGTTAGACTTTTTTCAAGCTATCATAGAGAGGGGTGAGACACAATGATAGTTCAAATAGGGATAACACACTTTCATACAGTTTTTCCTCTCAGACGTTCATGATGCTGTGCACACAACAATGAAAAAAAGTAAAAAGAAATCTTGGGAGAGAAGTTCTAATCCTGGTTAGTCTCTCATCTACCGCTGTGTGAGGTGGTCCCAAAAAGTTCAAACATTTGTTGAATGGAGTCTCCTAAATTTCAACGATGATGTTTAAAGACACAACAAGCATTCTTACCCCTTAAACTGTACCAGCCTCCACCATGACTTACTCTATAAGGAAATTATACTTTTTGAACATTTTGAAGCAAATAAGTACTTATAGTACTTTGAAGCTATTTAAGAGAATGTTTTTTTGGAGTAATACGCTTATTCACTTTCTTGAATTGAATTGAAACCACTTTTGTTTGTAAACTAAATATGAAGCCACAGCCTGCAGCTAGCTATCTTAGCTTAGCATAAAGACTGGGGACAAGGGGGAACAGCTACTCTGGCTCTGTCCAAAGGTAGTAAAGTCTACCTACCAGGACTTCTACAGTTTGCTCAACATGTTGCATCTCGTTTAATCAGTACAGAAATGCAAAAACATTGTAGCCTGGCTGAATATAAGAGTGGTACTGGTCTTCTCATCTAACTCTCGGAAAAAACAGCCCTAAAGGGTATTTCCCAAACTGTGGAACTATTTGAGGACTATCAAAACAAATTTCTACACTAGTATGACATTAATAAAAATGTTGCATACTGATGAGCAACAGAACAAGAATCTTTTTTTCCCCTCAAATTATGGCTGTATATAATCTTCTATAATTCTTTAACCCTCTGCTTTATCAATGTGGTGACATTCTCCACTGTCTTCTGTCTCCCCCTCTCATTATCACCATGTCTTTGATGTTATGGGACACAGACACAGGCTACCAATGGGAAAATATGTTCAACTTTCTACATACTGTATATGTATCTCTGTAATTATGATGATAAACATGAATAAAGTGATGTTGGACTGTCTTTGATGATTCTCACATTCAAAGAAAAAGGGAGATGGATACAGCGTGACAAAGTCCTCAGGGAGTTTAGTTAAAAGTAGAACTGGTGGGCTTTAGGGCAGACAGGGCAGCATGCACACACACACGCACACACACTGCAATCATTATTCTTTCAGTTTTAAGTGGAGGAGTTATTCAGCATGCCCATTCACAATGGTGGAAATAACAATTCAGACTGTGAAAAGTGAGGAGGAGGAACCAGATTCACATTCAACATTTAAAATAACTGCTTTAATGGCCTGTCTGCTTTTATGTGAATATGAGGCTGTATGCAGAATGTGCAGTGGGCCTTGACCTGCTGAAATCACATTTGAACTGAGCAAAAGGTTGTCATGTTCACAATCTTAGTTTTGCATTTTAGCTTGCAAATATTTGTTTATTATGACCAAACACAAAATAAAGCTGAGATTGGTAGGAATGTTATAATTTTAACCCGTTAATGGTTCCAGATGAAAAGTTAAGGGATCACCAAAGTTATTAGAGTTCGTTACAGACGTGTACCAAATGTAATGCCAATCTATCCAATAGTTATTGATACCTATCACTTTGAACCACAAATGTGAACCTTGTGGTTATGCTAAAGGAAAAGTCATGGGATCACCAAAATCAGTAGGATTCATCCTCTGGGGACCATGAATGATGGTTCTAATTTCATGGCAATCCATCTAATAGTTGTTGAGATATTTCAGTCTAGACCGACGGACTTACATTGCCAGTGTCCCTTTTTCTCTGGATAATCCACCAAACACATTTTTAGCCGTTCTAATTTATCTTAAAAGAGATCTGGTCAAAAGTAGTTCCAATGAAAACGCTTCAGGAAAGAGTTACTAGAAGTATTTAAGTGGTGTGCATTTAGTTTGACTTAAACTTTGAGGACCTCTTCTGTTAAGAAAGAAAAATTATCATAAAAAACACTTATCATTCTAAAATGATTGCCTCAACTGTAATGTAATACGCTATTTAAATATTACATTTAAATAATTGGCAGTGTATATATAGTATATACTTTGTGTTGTTCTACCACTTGGAACTGTGAAAATCCCATTCCCATTGACTGTTGCTAGTGTAAGTGCTGATCCATATCCAAGTGCGCCATATGTTTCTTGTGTAACTTATTGCTTTCCCATTCCCAATAAAGTGGCAGAATAAAAAGGCTTTTACAGGTCCCTGCGGGTAGCAGCTACTTCCAATGGTAGTCACTGAACTGTGGGGCTGCTGTGGTGACAAATGGCACCAAGCACATATTTTACTATTGCCATTTACAATGCATGATCCAGGCTGTGCTGCTCAAATGACTGTGCAGCAACACTGTTGAGAGTTATGTTAGCCGGAAGAGTGTGTGGGTGTGAAGCAAACACACATTCATAAGTGTTTGCTTGTTCTGAGTTTATTATTATATTATTAGTCAGGTATTTTAACACACTGGATGTAGATAATTGTATGACATCTGTTCAAACTTAATTTTAGAAGCACTGTCACATGAATGTGTTGACATAAATATGTGAATTGTGGCAGTAAAACAAATCAATGGTCACCATGTTTCAAAAGGATATGGCTATGACATGATTTCTCTTACTTGGTTGTGGTGGCAGTGAAGGACATCTCCTTGTAAAGTGAACAGTCTTTCATACACTCACTCTTGAGACATTTGTACAAATTGTGTTAATTTGTGTCTATGTTATATCATTACCTGTTTCCCAGTAACCCACTTTAAGGTAATGTACACTGTGATGAAGTGATTAGTGTACAAGGTGAGTGACCTCCAATTTAATTGTCATTATATATACTGTAGGTTACAGCATCATCATCATCGAAATTAATCAATTATAGGTGGCAGTGGCTATCATATCATTTATATCATCCTTTACAGTTATGAAAGCTTACAACATTTATAATGCAATATACAACAAGTATAATTTGTCTGCAATATATGGTTAAACTCTACTGTGGAGATTTACGTTTCACAGTGCATCCCTTTTGCAGGTCCAGCGGAGGTGGCCGTCAGGGGGCAGACATCAGTCGGGGAGCTCTCGGAGAAATGTTGCTCCCTGGTTTGTTCAGCAATTATAGGCGCGCACCCGCTCGGACACGCGCAAACAATAGATAGATGCAATGGATTTTTAAAGAAACGAGAAAAGGCAAATAAAGTACAAGTCACAAACATATCTAAGTTATAGAAATGCACCATTAAATTTTTTTAAAAGTCAAAGAAAGTCAAAATAAAATGTGTTTCTGGATCTGTAAAAGTCTCTATGAGAAAATATGATGAGGTTATTTTAAGCCTTGAAGGAGTGAAGACACGGAAATCATCTACTTCACTCTAAACATATCAAACACATAAAATAACCATATTCAGATTTGCCATTAGGAGTCAAGTGTTTCGGTGAGACTGTATTCTGTTTTTATGTTATTAAAGTACGGAAGAGAGGGAAGAGGAGAGCAGAAAGGGAGAGAGTCTATGGTAGCCAGAGGGCGGTGGCATTTCTCTCTCTCTGCGTAAACGGAGAAGGAGAGAGCGCACGGAGAGAAAAGCAGAGCTTAGTGGCGAAGCAGCAGACACGAGTGAAGGGACCCCGTGGTTATTTCCACCACCTCTCTCTCTCTCTCTCTCCCCCTCTCTCTCTCTCTCTCTCTCTCTCTCTCTCTCTCCACACAGCTTAACCTGCGCCTTCTGAGACGGACTTGGCCATCGGGACTAGAGGCGATACACCTTACCACCTTTTGGTTTTTGAACTCGTTTGATTAATCAGCAGACCCTGTGGTGGAGGGGGGGTTCTCATTTCCCCCGCCGTGGACCGAGGAGTTTTGTGTGTTTATGTGTTTTACGCGTTGCTTGTAATGGGCAAAAGTGGACAGAGAAGTGGAATAGGACGCGGGGGTTGCGGCTTGGTGAGGATGTGCGCCACACCGGGGATCCTGGTTCTCCTGGTGCTCGTACACCGAGGAGTCACCCAAGGTAAGGCTGGAGAGAAAAAAGCGCGTCTTCTTCCCAATCTTTAATAGCCTACACCTTTTAGTTGTTCCAAAGCGATGCAACCTTTCCTTCGCTGCCGAGATGCGGCTGTGTGGCAGCGGCGGCATGTCTGGTAGTAGGCGGGGAGGCAGAAGTAGCTCCTGCCCAGGAGGTTTACTTTTTTCTGGATGCTGTATTCCCATTTAAACCGAGCCGATGCTGATGAGTGGGTGGCTTGCGGTCAGTGTCTTAAGGTGTAAACCATACAGTGGCTATCTGCGCATTTCCATTCCTGCTCGAAGTGTGCTGCACAAACTGAAAGGCAAAAGTCGCAGCGCACGTTTCCCTTCGAGAGACCACTGAGGGGCTTATTCAGTTAGGACGACTGAAAAAAAAGAATCGCCTAATTAAAGAAAAAAGGCTGATTATTATTAGAGAAAATGTGATTTCAACTCGCTTATTGAGAACCAGATAAATACGCATGTGACAGCAAAAACTCCCGAGGAACACACATGGGGGGGGGGGACTTCAGGTCCCTGTGGGCACTCAGTATTGCGGGGATTTTTCGTCAGGCTCTGTTTCGGGTCTTCAGGGGTAAATCAACTCCGAGGTTGCAGTTAAATTAAGGTGAAAATTGTGAAGGGCAGGACTTGGGGAGTCCACGCTCAGGCGACTAATGTCTCGTTGCAGAGCACTTCGCAATACAGAGGCGACGGTTCACCGCTTCGATTGGAAAATTGATCAGAAGTCACAAACACTCACAGCCAGCCAGACGCGTAGAGGCAATTATAAACATCTCCCAACAAAAGCCTGGAGTCCCCAGAAGAATAATGCTGCAAACACTCACTTGATGAAAATGCCACAATAACTCACCATCACCATCTTTCCTTAGAGGGAATCCAAAGATCTCACCATATATGACTACATCAAATATAAAATACTAGTCTGCTCAAATGATGAGGTGTTGTGTATTAGTAACACTATAACTGATGAAGCATAATAGGAATATTAAAGCGATATATCTGACGTGCAGCCACACAACCGCTGGTGTTTGTGGAGGATACCACAGGTCACAGGCTTAATGAAGCACGAATAAGTAGCCTAACATTGACACATATTTTATTTTCATTTAATAGCTCAGAGATTCACAGTATAATAGGCTGCTTCTTGGAAATGCTGAATGGAAAGACGAGCAAAAGCGCTCTCTCTCTCTCTCTCTCTCTCTCTCTCTCTCTCTCTCTCTCTCTCTCTCTCCACACACACTCTCCGTGACCTTCTCGGGGAGAACTTGTGCCTTGTTAATGTTCATCCGAAAGTGTCCAAGCCCTGTGTTGTTTCACCAAGCTGCTTAATTCACCACATTTCCCTGTATGGCCTGAGTAACCTAGAAAGTTTGACCTTATCATAGGCACTTATGGTGGATTTAATCCCCTATTATAGTCTATAAGTATAATATTCTAATATCCTATCCGGACTCGGTGTTGCTGTAATCTTTACTCTCCATTATACAACTTATATTCCACTTGAAAGCCTCTTAAAGGATACAGTAAGTAGCCTAGTCTACTGCACAATGTAGTCAGTAAATTGGTATCGACATTACTGATTGGCCTAGGGTTTTTGTGCTGAATTTGGGCAGTAATTGGACATGATGTTGCTGCCACCTTTCTCTGGTTGCCCTGGGGAACAACATTTCAGCAACACCCACCGATATTCATTATGACCGTTCTCTATTGGTTTACTGTTAAATCAATACATTGCAATTTAGGGACACGATTTGAGTAGGCTTTCACCCACGTCTGATAAATTGCACCTTGCCACCAACACGCGGCTCAATTAGACTTTGGTTGAGAATTCTGATAATTGGAAACTTAAACTGTTGGTGCTTTTCAGGCAGATGCAACTCCTGAGCGTGGTTTCTCCCTTAACCCCCCCCCTTTTTTTTTAAAATAAAGTTTTTATTTCTGTGTTTCTCCTCTTGGGCTTGGCTGTTTTGTTTCTGTCTCTTATTTCTCGGCTCCAAACAACTTGACTCATGTCTCTGAAGTTGGTTCTTTTGTGTGTGAGGAGTCACTCCATTAGTTGTTCTATTGAATGGGGCAGAACACACAAACACGCTGACCTAACTGTGGGGGAGTGGGTTGCTTTGTGTACATAGCCGATCCTCTCTGTGCATAAGTGCTGGATTCAATCCCCAGTCCATTCAGGTAGAGATCGTCCTTCAAATTACACATTCTTAGTTTGAGTGCATCTGTTTTTTTTGGAATGGGGGAAATAGTTGTTTTAATCAAATCCTTCTGGTGTTCAGTTCTGTTCATGCATCACAGTGTCTTATGGCCAGTTGTTGCCACCTAATATGCGGTTTGTTAAGTTTAATAGCTGAGTTTATTTTTAAGGTCATGACTAATGATGTTCAGGCTGATGGTGTTTGTGGAAATGACGCTGGCACTTCTGAGGATTCAAATCTAATAATGACAATTTTTCAGATGTTTTAAAAAATACATATATTTTGAATACACTCATCCCACACTCGATGAATTCAATCCAAGTTGTTCTACTTTACATCCAGGTCTCTAAGCTTTTAATTATAAACCTTTTTTTAGCACTTACTCGTTTACTCTGGCATCTTTCTCCGAGCTTTGTGGAGCTATAGAAGCTGCCTTACATTATGGAAAAAGTCTCTCGCACTGAGACACACACTTGTGTGCACACACACACACACACACACACACACACACACACACACACACACACACACACAATGAGAGGAGAGTGTTAGCTGAGATCCTCTCATGCCAGTTTGAGTGCATGTGTCACCCTTCCAACTAAGCCCCACCCTCGAGCCTCTTGGCCTATTAAAAAGCCATTAGCTAAGCCCCCTTACATTTGATCTGGAATGAATGGGTGTCAAGATCACTCTATAAGGTCTGAAAAGTCCTCTTGTTTATTATGATGACTAAGCAGTGGTATAGCCAGGTTCTACTGTTCAGCTGCTATATTGTGTTAGTCTAAAATATTTGGTGTGTTTCTGTTTATATGGCTCCTGCAGTCTCAGTCGTTATAGATTCCACAGTTTGGCTGCTGGATTCTGGTTACAGATGTTCATATTTCTGTGGTATGTTGTGTTTCAGCTCAGAAGCACTTTTCTTTAAATATAACACACATATTTATTCTAGGATACTATTCACGTTGTGTAAATATATGTTTTTGAACTAGATGGTTGATTTAAAGCAACACCGTTTGAAATAACTGTGGGTGTGTGTTTGTGTTCAAGTTTGTGTGTCTGTGCAGGTGGGTGTAGGTGTATATGTGTGAACCTGGTGGTGCAGAGGTGTAAAGATGTAATGAAAGTGCTCACACGAGAGGTTTGTGTTAATGTGTGTGTGTTTTCATGAACTTGGCAGCTTAGGGATGTTCTCAGAGAAGTCCTGTGGAGTATGTGTGTTTCTGCGCGCACATGTGTGTTTGTGTGGGCCAGAATGTCTATACGTGGGAGATTGTGTGATTTTATACGTGTGTGTCAACTTGGCATCCCGATGGTGCTCCAGCAGAGTTCACATGGTGTTTCGTTGCATGTGTGTCTATGTGTGTGTGTGTGTGTGTGTGCCCGCGGTTGGCATTATGATATTGCCAGAGCTCCCATGCTGTCTCCCATTATGCTCTGATCCTGTCCCATGGTGCACTGCAGCCATCCAGGGTTCAGTGATGGTAGGGGGGACAGCTGGGAATTATTGGAACTAAATAGGCCAATTTGATTGGCTGTGCTACTCCAGCCAGCGCAATGCAATTGGCCCAGCAGATTTTATGTAGTAAATTTGATGCTTTTTCTGTATCAGAGTGAGAGAGGGGGAGAGAGAAAGTGAGTGAGGGGAAAGGATGAATGGATGAGGAAGGGAGAGAGCTCTCTGGGTGGTTTGTACCAGCTTTGATCACTCCACTAGGACTTGACAAGCTGACTGACTGCCACACTCATACACACTGAACACACACAGCGAGATATTTCTGTGGTCCAACAATGCTGCATTCTGTCTGCATTCTCGGCGTGTGTGCTAAGGCGTGCGTGTGTGTGTGCTCGGACGGGCCTTCACGGGAGTGTGTGAAAGGAAGTCTTTGACAGTGTCTGGGTTGTTTTGTATAGAAGACCCTCCTGCTGCTAGCAGCAGCCTAGTGATGGCAGATTTCCCTCACCCTCTGCCTTCTTTTTTTTTTAAATATATATATTTTATCCTTGCTTGCTCATCCGTACACTTCATAGACTCTTAACTTTAAATGTGACCAGTGATGAGACATTTTTCCACCCACCTCTCTATCTCTATCCTTTCAGTCTGCATCCTCTGTTAGCTGCTGAATGGATTTTACTGACCTTTTATTCTCCTTGCCTGTGGCCTTGTATGTTCATCCATTCACTCGGTAGATTTTATGTTAGACTGTGAAAATGCTGGACCTTGTCTGTCCACCTACAGTTTTGTGCATTTCATATATGGTTTACTTGGAACACATAGCAATTACAGCTCGGCCTATTTCAAGAACCAAGAGCCTGAACGTGTTTGTGTAGCGACGGAGAAGTTTGCAATCATGTCTTTCTTTGCGGAAAGCAGAGATGAAATCTAGTTTTGAAGGCTTTTGAAAGTGTGGTTTTCAAATGGCTATGTCGACAAACTGCGTCACACTGCTTGCACCATTTACTATCTCTGTCTCTGCAGGGGAAAACCCAGGATGGAACATAAGAATGCGTCCCTCTGTGTTGTGTGTGTGTGTGTGTGTGTGTGTGTGTGTGTGTGTGTGTGTGTGAGAGAGTGCATGCATGTTTACTAGAAAGACAGGCTTGAGCTGGAGAGAAAAAGAAAAAGAGAAAGGAGAAGCTAAATGTTCGGAAACTGATTCCCAGCGTCCTGCTGTTAGGCCTAATTCCTTCTAGAGTTTCATGTAAAGATCTGGAATTATGAATTTTTCATGGCCTGCGAAACCTAAGGCCTCATTTGAGGCTCTCGTTTCCAGGCTTTTTG